TTTTTATCAGAGATGTGCGGTAGAATGCTTGATTTGTGGTGAAAATTTCGAATACGTCGGTTAAGTAGAACGATTTTTATGAGCAAAATAGGTGTCGTGACGGAATTACATTTTTTAGCCTTTTTTTTCTAGTGCTCTACAAACTTTGAAAAATGCTTTAAAACGAAACATATTCAGAAAAAAAGTCTAATATAAAAGTTGTAGAGCATGAAACGAGCTTTCGAATCATCTCTTTACTTTTACTCAAAAATGCTTAAATGAAAAGAAACGAGCGAAATGGCTCCGTGACGGAATTACATCATTTTTTTGCTTTCTTTTGCGGTGGGTTTTATCGTTATATTTCTACCGGTAAAAAAGACTTCGATAAACTTGATCTGCACGTAGCCTTATGCAATCGAGTGCCCTCTATGAAAGTAGCAAAAAAGGACGGTGGGAGAAATGTTTTTGATTTTCGTAGAGTTGCTCCATAAAAAGTACCATTTCGAATTCGGCAAAAAACCTGACCTGAATTTATAAATAAATGTTTTTGTATTAGGTTTTGTAATAATTTTGATAATATAAATTAGTTTTAATTAATATTGAGAGTCGAACTTAGTGTAGATTCGGATTCTTCTTCAGAGATTAACAAAAAACTGTATTTCATGTGTCACTTCTCTCGACCAGGCAAGAAATACAACATCTCTTGAGCAAATAGTTAGATAGAGAAATGTTTTGAGATCAACAATGTCATTTTAGTTCAACTCTCGCTCATTCTTGAAGGAAAAAACTCGAACTGCGGAAACATAGTTATTTGTAAAATGCGTGATTCCGTAACAATGATATTTTACCAATTTAAGCGTTAATTTCAGATCTGTAAAAATATTCTTTTTCAATCGATAACGCATGAACTTTGCTACAACATTTTCACATAAAGAATAGAGATTAACTGAGTTTTCGACAACTTTAAATTGTTTCGGAGTGGCTATTCCATTTTTGGTGATTCCGTGACGGTCGATATTTTTCTTTAAATAGTTGTGAATAAGTATGGTTTCGTACTTCCAAGATTCCGCCGCCGTTTTCTCCAATTGGTTCCAAAAAATAGAGAAATGTTTTTTTCTATGTCGTGACGTCGTTGGATTTTTCAATTCAAGTTTAGTTTAGGAGGAATTGAAAAAGTTTCTGACAAGTTAGAGAGATTTTATTTAGAAAAAGCATTTGTTTTGAAAAAGCAATGTTTTGAAACCAATTATTTACATTAATTTGGGTACAAAAATTCGTTTAGATTAATCTTTGATTTGAAATTAATTTCAGCAAATGTTCTAATCAATTTGGATGAATTATTTATTACAAATTGATTTAAATTAATATACGAACAGAAATTAATAGAAATTAATTTTTGTTACAGCACTGCAAAGAAATTTGAGTCTATAAATTAATTTACATTGATTTCCAATACCAAATTAATGTACATTATTTTTCTTTAAACCAGTCTAAATGGATTTGTTGATCGAAATTAATTAAAACCAATTTTCAATCAAAAATTCATGCCAACCGATTTAACGAAAAATAATGGGCATCAATTTAGTATTGGAAATCAATGTAAATTAATTTATAGACTCAAATTTCTTTGCAGTGCTGTAACAAAAATTAATTTCTATTGATTTCTGTTCGTATATTAATTTAAATCAATTTGTAATAAATAATTCATTCAAATTGATTTAGAAAACATTTGCTGAAATTAATTTCAAATCAGAGATTAATCTGAACGAGTACCCAAATTAATGTAAATAATTACAAAAAAAATCAATGCCAATTAATTTCAAGTTTTTTGAAACCAAAATGGGTACTTATTTCGGTTCAGAAATATTTTCAAGAATTTCTGAGAGTGTCATTGGATTTCTCGCAAAAAGTTGCTTCGGGAAACTTAGCCTCTAACTATATCAGATATACTATGGGGACTTTGAGTTTTTTCTTTTTTGAAAAAAATATTGAAATCTTCACCAACTATTTGAACTAATTTAGTCTCAAATTAGTTTACATTAATTTTTAACCGAAAATTAATGTAAACTAATTCCTATGTAAATTGATTTAAATTAGTTTAGATCTAAATTAGTTCCAACGAATTTTTAATCTAAAATTATTGTGAATTAATGCTTTTTCAAATCAATTTAGACCATTCTAAAATGACAAATTCGTTTAAATTAATGCGGTAAGAAATTAACAACGATAAAGTCTGCAAAGGTTAATTCCGATTAATTTTAAGTTGAAAATTGTTTTGAATTAATTTCTGTCAGATTAGTGCAAATCGCTTTATTACTAAATTGAGTTAAAGGAATTTGGAAAAACACTACCCTATGAAAAATTTAATATTAATTTGAGTTTCAAATTAGTGTAGAGTTTTCGAATTAATGTACACTAATTCGAAGCTCGAAATTCGTGTACATTAATTTAATATGAGACTTTGTATAATGCGGTAACGAGGGAAATTAATTTTTTGACGAAAAAATGAACTAAAATTAATGTCAGTATTTTCAAATTGATGCGCATTAATTTGGAACGTCAAAAAGGTTTTTAAATTAATGTGAACGAATTTCCTTTCAAATTCCTTTGAATCTCGAAATTACTTTGCATTAATTCGAAAGTATTTAAAAGTTCCAATGGGTACCTATCCAAACACCATTTAAACTACATTATCTAATTTGTAATCATTCCAATTATTATGCGTTGTTACATTTTGAAAGATAAAATATTAGGAATAAAACAAACGTAATATAATATTCATATAGCTGCTTAGGCTACAGTGACCTTTCGCTAAAGTAGGTGACTTGAATGCCGTTGAAAACATCGCACTTTTGCACTATATTACAACAAGCATACTACTCATATGTACACGTTTGTGCAGTGAAGCAGAGAAAAATGTTCGGTTAGAGCTGTTTTCTACAGTTTTTTATTCATGAAAGAAACGATTGTGACGTGAAGAGGTAAAAGGTTTCAAGTATGCACTATACACTGTTAAAAGACACGTACCACAGTTCGAGCAGTTGAAGTATAAACACTTGTTCCTTCGAAAAAAGTACGTGACTGTGGGTTACTTTAAGCGCGCATTCATCGTCTGAGTGGTATCCAAAACTACCCTGTGAGCACAACTTTCTCACGTACGAAACAAAGCATATAACTTCTTTAAGTTATTACTTCATTCGCTTTATAGTATGTCAGACATGAATACTGATATTCTCAATAATGCTTATTCATCGGTATCAGTTAATGGCAAAGTTATCGTGATAACAGGTGCAGCGTTTGTCCGCGTAGGACACTGAGCTTCACGGGCAGAGGGATCTAACCAAAGAATCAACTGACAAATGAACTTTTTAACTGCTTTCAATCTTTCCGCATAAAATTTTGAACTTTTGGACATCTTTTAATTTGTCGTTATTGAAAAGAATTAATGAAGAACAACACATAACTAGAGAGCGGCGATATGCTGTTCAACAAAGCGGTTAAAATGTAGACATTTTTGGTGGACATCCACGATGGATAACCACCAACTTCCGGCATTGGTGCTGAAACAGCTCGGCTATTAGCAGCTCGTGGTGCTAAAGTTGTTCTAGCTGGACGTCGTACAGAAAATGGCGAAAAACTTGTTGAAGAAATCATATCTAATGGTGGGGAAGCAACATTTATCAAAACTGATGTAACAAAAGAAGATGAAGTTAAACGATTAATTGAACAAACAGTTCAAAAATATAACCGTCTTGATGGTGCCTTCAATAATGCCGGTGTGCTTGGTAATAGTGGTACCCCGCATGAACTGTCATTGGATGATTTTCGATTAATGAATGATGTTAATTATACAGCAGTTTTCTTGTGTATGAAATATGAAATACAACAATTTCTTACACAACAATCTCAAGAACAATCTCAACGAGGTGATCCATTACAACAGCCAAATCAATTACATTTAACATGGTCACCATATTCAATTGTTAATGATTCATCAGTACTAGGTTTAACAACGTGGAATGTAGCATATGCATACAGTGGGTCGAAACATGCTATTTGTGGTCTGTCAAAAAGTGCAGCACTAGCCTATGCTAAAAATGGTATACGCATTAATACAATATGTCCTGGATGGATTTATACAGAAATGTCTGAGGAAAACCACTCAGGTATATCAACACAACGACAGGTAAATCTAACACCAATGGGTAGAATTGGCAATGCAGTTGAATGTGCTGAGTTAGTTAGTTTTTTATTGTCAAACGCTAGTTCATTTATGACTGGATCACTCATTCCCGTTGACGGTGGTCAATTGGCCGGACAAGTCGTTTTATAGACAAAGAGTGTACGTGAATACATTTTACAGTTAACAATAAACTCTTTAAGTGAATTAAACTCTAAATAAGTGCCACGACAGGAAGACTTTTTCCCTACTTTAGCGAAAGGCCACTGCAGCGTAAGCAGCTATCGCTATATGAATATTATATTACGTTTGTTTTCTTCAAATAAATTTTTATTACATAGTCAGTTTAATAATAAAGAATTAAATTTATGTTCAAAGCATTTAAGATTATTATTTGATTCTAAAATACATCAATTATTTGATACCAATATACTCAGTCATTTCATTATGTAATTATGTAGTTGGATTGAATCGGGTGAATGAGAGTTAGCTTAGACTAACTTTCTCATCTAACGCACCTATTGTTCAGCTACTAATTTCTGTCAACAAATCTTACTAAAAGACCATTTAGCCGTGTTATTCATTTTTTTTCTGCTGATTGTTTCGCAGTCATTAAAACAACAGTTTGTTTTTCTTAATGAATTTTTCTTTATTTGAGTCATACGATCCATAGTTAATCAACTATCGAGCCACCTCTACTCACAATCATGATCGTTTGTAACTACGACTGCTAATACGTTTGTGTTCAATTGAAAATATTTTTTCGGCTTTGGTTTTTCCTTTTCACACATGTTTATTCATTAGTTTTCGACTGTTTTGGCAAAAAAGTCATTTGAATTTTTTGTTTAGCTTGTATGGTTTTTTTCTTTCATTTTCTTGCTTCTTTAAGTTTATTTTTTTCTCCAGAAAATTACTCGGATGATAGTATTCAATTTGAAACAAATATATTTGCAATATCTTGTTTTTTCTAATTGTTTAAACGGTTATCTTTCCATAAATACATTTTTATCAGCATCAACATCATCTGAAATTGTTTTAATGTATTCTGGTGACGGTGAAGATCGTCCAACGTTACAGCCTGTTATCTTTGAAATTGAAATTGATACGGCTGTGTCCCCATTTGCTAGCCTTAAAACTGTGAGCTATTTTAAAGCTGAAAATGAAGTTCTTTTTACAATTGTTAGTGTGTTTCGTATTAAAGACATTCTACCACAAACAGACATTATCTGGTTAGTTCAATTAGTTACGGATAAACGAGAAAATGAAGATATTGAACAATTGACAAAACATTTGAAAAAAGAAATTAGTGATAAACCATCATTACTGGATCTAGAACGCGTTTTATTTGATACTGTAGAATGTGACCGAGTCGAACATTATTGTACAATTTTAGATGAACAACTTCCGTTAGATGATTTTTAGATCTAGGAAAACTTTATCATCTCATGGACGATATAAAGCAGGAGGAGCATTTCGTGAAGCAGAAGAATTATTTAAGAAAGCCTTTTTTTACGACCACGATTTATCAAATCTTGTTTCTACCTATAACAGTCTAGATTTACTTGATAATGATAGAGGAAATTATGTGTTGCGCTAACTGACTTTAAAAAGATCGAAGAAACTCACCTTCTTGACAATCACGATGAACCATTGAAAGATCATGAAACAGCTCTCGAAATTCAATTAAATCGCTATTCAATGCTCATCCAGATATTGCAACAACATACAATAATATGGTTTTGCTCAACATATCGAAACAGAATTATTCATTAGCATTAATAAATCATGAAAAAGCGCTCGATATATTTCTGCTTGGATTAATGGTAAAATTTATGTAAGTCAGTAACGTTGTATAAAATTCATAGCTGAATTGCGATGTCTTCAAGGGCGTTGAAGTCAGTTAGTTTTTGACCTAGAAAAACACAAAACATGGTTATATGGTATTATTTTGACATCTTTTAGATAGAAAAATCAATTCTGAACACGATAGGGTGTGTTTCAAATTTTTGACAAACGTTGGTAAGTCGGCTGACGGGCGAAACCGAAGAAAGGCCGAAACCACCACCAGCTGAAAAAAGTAATTTACAAATTTTCTGCAAGGCATCGGAGTGGAATCGACTAAATATTCAGAATCAGCGTTGAATTCTACGTCTAGTGATGTACTTCTTAAAGAAT